CAGAGAATTTAAAAAATAATAATGGGGGAGCCCAGCAGAGCAGTGCAAAAGATAAGGCTAATGCATTTCAATCCATCTTCAGCCAGATGCCCAGAGAGAACAATTTATCTCAGCCTCCTCCTGAAGTCCCCAGTGTCACAGATATCACCCTTCACCCAAATACATTCTTGCAGGGTGAAACAGCTGAAGATACACTGAGATACTGCTAAGTCTGTGGGTTCTGACAGTATTCCAGCAATTGCACTGAAGTTTGTTCTCCAGAACAAACTGCATCCTTCGCCAAGCTGTTCCTGTACAATTGGAAGATTTCAATTTACCTGGCAATGTGGAAAATTGCCTGTAGAATATCATTAAAACTGAGTTTGCAGCACTGGAAACAGTGAAAAGCCAGAATTAAGGTGTTAAAGGCATAATTAAGGAATCTAAGCAAGGCAAAATCTAACAGAAGTAAAATAAGGAGACTGTTGAGGCTGCAGTAAGAGCAGAAGATGCATAATTGAAATCATGGTTAATGTGGGAAGAATTAATTAAGACTGCAGCAAACAGGACTAATTCAGAGAAGCCATTAAACAAGAGTCTGTATTAACACTGGACTACAATCAGCTTAATAGAAATGTAGACAGCAAGCAACATCTAGGGAAAGTGGTTGAGCAAAACTTATCCTTAAGGCTACAGGCAACAAAATATATTTCTCAAAGCCAACAAAAAGGTAGGGAATTGTTTATTAGATTGCAAAAGGCAGGGAATTGTCCATTTTGCTTACAAAGAGATGGGAAACTGCCATTTTTGCCACAAAAATGTGGGAAAATTTTGATAAGCAGGACAGAGGAACAGCATTGCAATGCTATACATTTAAAAGCCTTTCACTTGTGTCACATACAGTAAAGGAGCATTGCCCAAGATAGGAGTTCATGCTATTCAGGGTAATGTATTAGCATAGATTAGTATAAGTTTACACACCGAAGACAGAGAAGGGATTAATTGGTCTTTTTCAGATTGGAAAGATCAGTCCTAGTGGCCTCAATTATTCACTTTATGTGTAAATGACTTGAATTGAAGGCCAGGTATCATGCATCCAAATTTGCTGATGATACGAAAGTAATGGGAAGGCATACTGTGATGAGGAAATAAGCAAACTTCAAGGAGTTATGGATAAGTTTAGAGAGAGGGCTAAACTTAGCAGATGGAATTTAATGTCAGAAAGTGAGAGATCATGTACTGTACTAGGGAGAATCAAAAAGCAGACTTTTATTTAAATGTCAGAAATCACATGACACCAGGTTACAGGCCAACAGGTTTATTTGAAATCACAAGCTTTTGGGTGCTGCACCTGTGTCAGGTGAAAGGAGCAGCGCCCAAAAGCTCGTGATTTCAATAAACCTGTTGGTCTGTAACTGGTGCCATGTGATTTCTGACTTTGTCCACCCGAGTCCAAAACTGGCACCTCCACATCATTTATTTAAATGAAGAGAGACTCCAAGACAGCTCTGGATGTTCTTGTGCAGAAAGCTCAAAGTGTTAGCATGCAGGTACAGTAAGTAATTAAGAAACCAAATAGAATTTTGCACTTCTTTCCAGGGATTTAGAGTTTAAAAACAGGAATGTCTTGTTACAACTGTACAGAGAGTTGGTGAGGCCACACCTAGAGTACTGTGTGCACTTTTGATCCCCAAGTTCAAGAAAAGATGTACCAGCATTGAAAGCAGTTCAAAAGAGATTTGTTAGGCTGATTCCTGAGATGAAGCAGTTAACTTACCAAGAACAGCTAAACTGATCAGGACATTTTTCTGCACACTTTAGAAAAATGGGGTGGGGGTGATTTTATTGAAACATACAAGATTCTGAGGGGGCTTGACAGGGTGGATGTCTAGAAGATGTTTCCACTATTGGGGGAATCTCTAACTAGAGGGCATACTTGGAGAATAAGAGGGACATTAATTTTAAAACTGAGAATCAAAGGAATTTCTTCATTCAGAGGGTATTGAATGTCTGGAATTCTCTACCCCAGAGAGTTTGTGGAAGCTAGATCACTGAAAGTATTTAAAGAGGAGGGAAATGGCCTTTTGAAATATGAGGATATTGAGGATATATGGAGCTGGTATAAAAGAGCAGTTGAGATCTGAGGCAAATCAGTCATGATCTTATTGAATGGCAGGGCAGGTTTGAAGAGCTAAATGCTCAACTCCTGCTGTTTTATTTATGTTGTATTTAAGACAATGAAAATATAAAAGCATTGCTGTATGGCAGATTTAAAAGTATTTCAAGCAAAGAAAATGAAACAACAATGATATACTGTAGAATTTGAAGCCTTGAGTAAGACAATAAAACAACATTGAGACTGCAGAATAGAAAACCTTTCAAATAATAAGAATAAATAATCATATTAGGAAAAAATGGTAGGATAAATAATATTGCTAGGATTTAATTTCAGAAATGCATGAAATACAGCAGAAAATTGGACATCCTGGAGAAAACAGTTCTTACAATACAGGTAAAAGCAAAAACTGCAAATGTTGGAGATCTAAAATAAAACACGTACTGCTGGAAAAACTCAGCAGTTCCAGCTGCTTCTATAAGAGAGAAACAACATTAATATTTTGAGTCCAATGATTCCTCGATGGAACCTGAGGAAAAGAACCATTGGACTTGAAATGTTAACTCACCAAGGCATAAAAGATAGCAGCCATAAATTGCGGAACTGCTTCAAAATTTTGACAGTCATTTCAATCTGAAAACAAATACATTCTTGAAAGCGTAAGATTTAACAGATGAATTCAGCATCTGGGAGAATCCATCGATAATTAATAACTTCTAAAGATTAGTGGAAAGATGTGACTATGAAGCTTTGAAGTCAGAATTCAGAAGAGACAGAATGATTTGTGGAATTGCTGATGAGCATTGTCAGATTTATTGTAGACCAGAGATAATTTGAATTTGCAGAAAACTATTTAGATGGTGAATGAATCAAAAGTCCAGAAGCAACACATGTAAATTCTGGGAGGGGGTGATCAAACTTATCACAGGAGATTTGAAGAATCCATTTAGTTCTTTGAGGTACAAAAACATGAAAGGCACGAGTGAGAAACCAATACAAAGAGTAGAACAGACAATGGACTGTAAAAATCAGCATCAGTGCTGTGGAACAAATACACACAGGCAGAAGGAGTGTCCAGCTATTAAAAATAAAGGTATCCTGTACATGTAAAACAAGTCACTTCCAAAAGATATTTAGAAGTTGGACACAGATCATCAGGAAGTCATGTAGCCAGTTAATCAGGTAGAGCAACCTGAAATAGACAAAATATCAATGTATTACTCGGGGAAATTGGTTATCTGTCAAATTAATTTTGGCAAGAGGTAAATTTGTATCAAGGGGGACATATCAATTTTAAGCATCATACAGGGGTGAGTGTTACTATCTTTTCAGATTATATTGCATGGGTGAAGCTACAAAAGTTATAACTGTGTGGTCCAGGTGGTATAGCTCTCAAGATTAAAGTTTTGCTACAAGGAACTTTCTAACACAAAGCGGGTAAGAGAATAGAAAATGTATATATACTTCATAATCAAGCATCTCACTCTTGAGCATTCATGCATTTCTTCACCTCAACTCTATTCACATGACAGCAAATCAACTCATTAGATCAAAAGGTCAAATAATAGCCAGTTATACGAAGCCTGTTCAAAGATATGCAGATCAGGCAACAACTAGTCAACCATAGGAAAAGGAAATGTTGGTTATTGAACAGCTGATCAAAGGACAATCTATATAAAATTTTGTTGGGTTTTCTAGACTCACAGCGGAATCCAAAAGAAAGACTAGCTGATTTGAGATTTCTCTAATGCCAGTGTAAGTATTGTTTCATATGGTCAATAAGATGGAAATCTATGATTACATAGAGTTGACAGAAATGCATTCTAGTCGTATCGTTACTGGAGAAGGTTCTGATGACAGAAATGCATTCTAGTCGTATCGTTACTGGAGAAGGTTCTGATGACAGAAATGAACAAAAGTTGTAAAACGATACAAATTATGGGAAAGATAATGAGTGGTATGATTCATTGGAGCTCATTGATGAACTTTCAACTGAAGTTGCTCAGACAGAAACATGTCTGACAAATTGCTGTGGCAGATTCAAATGTGAGGTCAGATGATGACACTTCAAAAATCCGAGAGGAGCATTTCAATTTTTCATTTTCCAAGGAAACAAAAATCAATATCACTAATAGAGATCAAGTTAAATAAGCAGCAATTCTCAAGTAGCATGACCAAGGAAGTGAACATGTTGGGTTTACCAGAAAAACAACCACAGATAACAAATGCAACTATCCAACCTAATTAAGAAGTTGGAATACCCTACAGAATCTACATATTTCAGTGAATATTGGCCATTGGATTGAGAATAAAGACTTGCTTATAGGCTGCACAAGATTCCATGGAAGCCTCCATAGAGACAGGATAACCAACATCCACAGAAAGCAGCAGAAGACTCCGTTAAATAATTATCCTCCTCTTCCTTCTGTCCCCCCTTTCTCCTCCACCCTACCACCACAACCACCCCAAATCTTACTGTAATTTTTGTCGAACTGCATCCAATCCAAAGTTTTGGCTCGCATTCCCTTCTACACAGCTCTGTCCATTCTCCATCCCCTGATGCACATGTCGGAGCGTTGTGGTCTCAAGTCATGGTGTATTTTCAGAAAATCAATTTTTAAAATCAATTTACTTCATGCCTGAACTTTCCACAGCCATGCAGATTAAAGGTTATCAGGTCCTAGCTTGTGGACTAGTGGAGGGTCGTTGCATACAAACAGCAGTACTGGGACTTGGAAAAATTTTTTTTTTTTCATTTGAGTTTAATTGATAGTGATAGAGGTATTTTACCTGCAAAATTTGATCTGTGCTAAATGTATTATGGGGTCCTGCTGGAAGTGTGATGCCTGCTAGAACTTTATTATACAAATGTGCAACTAATAAAGTGACTTGCTTTTCATTGCAGATAATCAATACCATGCTGTTTGTGACAGGTGCAATTACAACAGTCACAGGAGTGGTCTTCCTTTTCAAGCATTTTCCCAAGGAACTTAATATGCACCAGCTGAAGAATTGGAATTTTAGCTTTAAGTAACTTGAAGCAGCTAAATGGGCAACAAATTCCTGGCAGTTTAATAAGAAATTACAATTCCATATTTTTCTAATTTAAGAGATGATGGCCTGATTTTCCTCTGAGCAGTAAGGAGCTGTCACTATTAGAAAATATTTTTATGTGTCAGCCATTGGTATTTACCGCTCCCTGTGCACCGGGCATGATTTCACCTCCCTGGAGATGGCAGGAGAGGTTACAAGAAGGGGAGGTAATGAGGTAAGTGGGTCCTGGAGGGAAACTCATTCCCTTCTTGCCACCTCAGCAATTAAGTGGTCATGGGTAGTTTTATATTTTATTATCAGCCTGTTCAGAGATGTTATTACTCACCGCTGAAGCAGTGGGGCACATGAACCTGGGCCTCCTGTCACAGAGCTAGGGGCACTAACACTGCCACAAGATACCCCTTGCTAGCAATTAAGTCTGTATAGTTGTCAATTACTGGCCACATAAGGGCCTCAGTTTGCTGATCATCTGCCTGCCTGGTGGGTGAGCAAAGTGTCTAGTTTTCAGAGTGAGAAGCCTTGGTGACTTACCTGCCGAGATGGGAGGGAGGGGTTCTCTCAAACTGATCCAGTCTAGAGGCAGTTGGAGATATAGATGGATGGCAAAAACTGGACCCCACTTCCCATGACTCATACAAAAATACTTCTCATCGCTGGACGCCCAATGCTTAAGCCTGGACAAGAGTCACAGAGTCTAACGTGGACATTCAGACCCAGAAACTGCTGGACTCTGATTGGCTGGCAGCTTATGGTGCTATCTTGAAGCATGTGATAGGGTGAGATACCATCACTCACCAGTCTGCTCATAATGAGCTAATTGTGTTGCAGTTAGGTGAGTTATCTTGACATGTTGGTTGCCACTTAAAATGCACACTCCAACACTTGAAATAAAGTGGAAAAATCCTTCCTTAAGTTTAACTATTAAGCTTGTTTTGCTATTCAGCGGCAGCCGATGTAATGTGTATTGGCAGCAATGGAAGGGAGAGACAAAAATTGGGCTGATGAACTGTTTCCAATCGACAGCAAAGTGATAGCAGCCTGAAAATCACTGTGCTGCACTCATCACCCTGTTCCTCTTGCCATCCAGCATGTCACATTTTTGGAGTAAGACTGGAAACAGATGAGCAGCAGTCCTGCCAAAACAGCCAACATCCATCTGACATTGTGGAAATCAGGTTCCTTTGCGTTGGGTGGAAAGTGTTGGTTGCAATAATATTGTTACAGTGAGCAGGTGAGCAAATGATCTTCGAAGGGATTGCTGCCGAAAACTGTAATTTAAAACACACACACACTCTTGCTCTAACCTTTGTGGCTCCTATATAAGTTGATTCATTTCTCAGTACCACAATTTCCTGTCATCACCCTCTGAGGACATTCCCTTCTCCTATTGCTACCTTCATCCACCCCAATTTATTGTTACCCTGCCCTTCAAAGATTGTCTAGTTTGTGGCTCAACTTTGCCCTGTCAGTTCTTTGGTCAACACTGACAACTTGTAAGAATTGTTCACATATTTAGACTTCACACTGCCTACAGTGAGTGGATAGCGAGTTTGCACCCACCAAAACCTGCTTGGAGAATTGGGTACTGATTGAATTTACCTCCATCAGAAACGTAGCAGGCAGAATAAGACATTTTCAAACCACTGAAATATACTTCCCCAATGTTATGGACCAGACCAAACCCTCTCAAAATATATGAAGAAGATAGCCTAGACCCTAACTTTTTCTTATTTTAAAGGAAAGTGCCAGGCTTTGCATTTCAGATGCAATTCGATTGGTCAAACTATCAGATTTGAAACAAAACACACTTTATTCATACACATAGTTAAAATGCAACAAATGAAAGAAGAAATTGGAATATCTTTATTCTATTGGAAAACCTAACAGTATACTAGATTATTTAACGACTAAACAGAAACTGTTCCAATATAGTATCATCCCAAAAACATACCCCTGGCAAAAAGCAAATTCAGTAAAATAGATTGCCTCACAGGCAACTTTCCAGACCAAGAAGGAAAACATCAAGAGAAAACTCTGAGAGAGAGTGGCAGGGACAGATATACTGCAGCTTCTAAACCCAGTTTCCACACCGCAGCAACTGCTAATACTGCAAACATAAAACTAAAAATCACGGTTCAGTGGGAGCTTGATTCCACCCATTCAGGCTGCTTCTATTGTTCCAACCTTAGAACAAAACCCCCAAAACCTCACAAGCTGTTTACTTTGTGGGCTTTGAAGCAGAAAAATTGGCACTTCTGATCTCAACCTTTCTTCATTAAAAAATAGTCAGGACTAAATACACCTCCTAAAGCCTAAGTAACGTCACACCAAAAACAGCATAGAAATGTGACTGGAATCAAGAGACTACAAGGGAACGTGGCTGCTAAAGCCAAGATTTGCATTGAAAACAAGGGTAGAAGCAGGATTGTTATCCTATCTACTCTTAATTGCTTACACTGTTTTTTAGAAAAACAGGCTTTTGCAACTAACATGGGCCCACTTAAAGAAATATATTGCCACAGGGAAATTGACGATAACAAACTCAGACTGATTCCCTGAATTTATCTATTTTATTACCTTATCGAGTAGTTATATAACTACATCAGCAGTTATAAGTTTGATTAAGAATACAATTTGAACAATGCAAATAGTTTTTTATTGTTTAGTCCTTGAATCACTTCTTAAAATGTGAAATGGTACCAATAAACCTCTGAAATCTCCCATTTCTGGATACCTTTATGAAATCACCAGGTTTGTCATTCTTCAAAGGTAAAGGTGCAGAGATTCTGCAGGATGAGGAGAAATAAAAAGCCACATTCACAATCATGTTTGTGGCTAACTAGCACAATGTCATAGTTTTGGGCGATTGGTAGGAGAATGTAGCCAAAAATATTGATCAAGTTTGGGATTTTTAAGGTTATTAAAGATGCAGGAAATGGAAAGATAGCAGAACTTTGGAAAATAATTCCAAAGCACTGTGTGTAAAATTCTGAGTGCATGCCTGCTAAAAGGACTTTAGGGTTAGGGGAGTTTCATTGTGTTAAGAATTTGGGTAGCTAAGAGGGTGGGTTTTATAGTTTTGAAGGAAGATCAGGAAGAGTAAGGTTTTAAAGAAATCTAAGAAAAAGCCTGAGAAATTTAAAATTGGTAGGTGTTGGCATTGAGATACCAGGATCCAGTGTACAATAGCAAATAGATTGCGGGACTTGGTAAGAATGGAATACGCAGCAAGACTTGGATGAGATGACAGACGGGGAAGGACTAGGAAGGTGGAGGGCTATTGAAATACTTGATTCGGGAAATGCCAGAATCTTAATGTGGATATCATCAAGTTGGATTAACCTCAGTAATTTTATGGAAGTGCAAGTAGTTTGATTTTGTGATAGGGCGACATGGTGGCTCAGTGGTTAGCACTGCTACCTCAAAGCACCAGGGACCTGGGTTCAATTCCACCCTCAGGTGACTGTCTGTGTGGAGTTTGCACATTCTTCTTGTGTCTGCGTGGGTTTCCTCTGGGTGCTCTGGTTTCCTCCCACTGTCCAAAGATGTAGAGGCTAGGTGGATTGACCATGCTAAATTGCCTGTAGTGTTCAGGGATGTGTAGATTAGGTGGGTTATAGGGATGGGTCTGGGTGGAATGTCTGAGGTCCAGTGTGGACTTGTTGGGCCAAAGAGCCTGTTTCCACACTGTAGGGATTCTATGAATAGGGTCAGTTGCTCAACATGATTTTGAATAGGGCACTTGAGTTTGTGAAATGACTCACTCAATCTGAGACAATGGCTGTGGATAGGGAAGGGATTACTAGCTAATGGCACAGTATCTGTGGCACTATCAAACAGTGATGACTTCAATTTTAATGTTTGGCTGGAGGAAATTGTGGCACATCTATATCAAAATATCAGACAATAATCTAACAACAAAGATGGCAGAGAAATTAATATCGGTGTCAGTTGTTGCAAAATATTTAAATTTTGCATCCTCATGTTACAAATCTTATAGTCAATGTTAGAAATGTGACTCACTGACGAAACAAGGTCTAGAAAGACTTTAACCTTTCTTGTGACTCACTGGATCAGTTTCTTCTGGTAGGTTTTCCTCACTGCTCAAAGTACTAAGTTAATGATTTGTTGCTGCTTTATGAATGTAAAATTGAACTAACTGAATATGTAATAAAAGTGTTATGACACTGATGTGATGTATCATTTTAAATAGATAGAGGGAGAATACTTTCTGGGCTGGTTTCCTTCATTTGGCATGGAGGGGGCTTGTTAATCCATCTGGATACCAGCAGTTACTGTGATCCATTATTGAATATAGGGGTGAAAGGTTAATATTCACTCTTCACATTATTGGTTATTTAGTCCCAAGGCCTAATATTCTGTCATGGCATGAGCCCATCACTGTAGAGCTACAGAACACAGCGGAGGCTTGGGGCTTGCAAACAAACATGATGCTAGGCTGTAAAGGACTTGAGTTTTACCTATTAAACAACCACCACATATGTAGCCTTAGCAATGGAATCATGCGGCACACATGGTGTTCATTTAGAATAGACACTGACGAATGAAGTACTATTAAATAGATACTTTACAGATCTGCAGGTAAGATGCAGTTCTCTGATGTCATCCTGTGTCTGGATCCCATTACTCCAAGGTAGGAGATCACCTGCTTTATGGTTCTCTGTTGACTCCTAACACTATGACTTTGGCATTTTAGGTGCATTGAGTGGTTACAAACGCCTCTCCACCTAACCCCTTCCCCCAGATTGTGAGAAAATTATGTAGCACCCTGGTGGCACTGTGTATAAGGAATAAATAATGGTACATTACAGCATTAGGGAGTTTATGGATTTGTTATTCATAGGGAAAATTCTATCTCTGTGATTTGACCTCAATTACAAAGTTTCAAACAACGTATCAAATGATGATCATAGTGCAGCTATGTTGTAAAGCACTTCTCATCTATCAAGAGATCTGATGCATTGCTTCAAGACTCAAAAGACAACTGTAACAACTGGTGTAGTTTCATGCTACTCACTATAATCAAGGTTGAAGGAAGAATCTTGGGGTTTTGTATTAAATAACCCACCATATAAAATTGTACTAAAAAAGACAATACTGTGACTGCTCCTAAGAAACAGGGCGATGTGATTGGGGGTGTTCACACAGCTATTGTGCATTGATGTGTTAATTCATGTAACTTATGGAATAATGACACAATTACAAATCACTCTCTTATAGATTGGGAAACTCAACAACTTAGTTTAGGTAATCTATTTTCTTGATCATGGATTAAACTATTTCCCACTGACAAGCTGGATCACCAATGACACTTGGCTCCATATGCATGGAAATGGGATAGGAGGACCATTATCTATATTGCAGCCTGCAAGAAATATTAACATAATCTGAGCATAAGCATCTTTCATATGCATTTACATTAATGTAGATTTTTTTGGAGGGTCAAAATTTAGAAAACTTATCTCTAACTTCTATTCCTTTGGAGAAAATTGAATTGCAACCCTTGTATTAGTCCTTCATTCCATTCTTCGATCAGTCTTCACATTTTGAGATCCTATAGCAGTGGCACAGATGGAACCAAGTGACGGTCATATTGGTCTCAGTTTTAGGCCAATATATCCCTGTGCTCAGAGAACAATAGGCAAAAGTAAAACAGCACAGGGTGGAACTGCTTCCACAGTACAGTTAGTGATACATGGAGGCAATTGCCTAAAGGTCTGCAAAGCAGCTACTCAGCTGATGCATTTTTAGTCTCCATTGCTGGGAAAGCCTTAGAAAAATACATAGAAGTTCATGAATATATAGTGGTACTTTTAAAGATGTTAGGAAAGCAAGCATATTCCGTTGTCTTCCATGTAAAAGAAGTCATACCTCTGAAGTGTAGCTGCTATCTATAG